TCTTTGGGCTGAGTCTATTTTACACCCAGACTTTTATTTCTGGTCCGTGCGCATCTCAGCAGAACGTGCTTAAACATTAACTCCGGGGGCCTGAAGTCACGTTTCTGAGATGGCTTTCGTTGCATTGCCGCCTGGTCTCAGCCGTGGCCAGCTTCCGCTGGGAATGCTTCCTGCAAAGCAGAGGTTTTGCTTTCAGAGCGGTTTACACTGATGCGTGGGGCTTTCTGCTCTAGCTGGACCTGCCGGTCTGCTCCTGCTTGTTGGCTGAGCCAGCGTGCCCCTGATCAGCTTTGCACCGAGAGCCCGTCTCCTCTCTGCTGTTAGAGCCTGGGACTTGGTGTTCACCGACACTGGTGTCCTGTGGAGAGGGACCAGAGCTGGCAGCCAGAGTGCAGAGCTGTCCTCCTCACCAGCAGGGATGATTTGGGGTCTTCAAGGCCAAAGTTGACTTTTCTTTAAAAAAAAAAATAATATAATAATAAACCCTGCTAGACCCCTTCCTCTCTCCTGGCTTTCTGGTTCTGCTTTTGTTGAAGCCCCAGCTCCCTGGCAGCTCGCTCCTCCCCGTGCGCATGCAGCCTTCCACCATCTCCCGCTGACCCTGCCGGGGTGGTTGTCTTGCTGGCATTGCACCGAGCGGAGATTTCCGTCAGCACCAAACACGGGCGCTTTTCCAGCAGCGTCTTTGCGCGGATGCTCAAACGAACGGGGTTGGGTTTTCTTGCCACGCTGCCTGTCTGCAAGAAGCGGGACAGCGGTCAAAAATATCAATTTTGTAGGGTTGAATCCGGTGCCAAATCGCTGCTGAGTTTGGTTCGCAGTTGCCTGTGCTGGCTCTGTGAGGCTGTATGGCCGACGTATGGTCTGAGCTAGTGCAGCCTGGGGCTGTTGGCAGCAGAGGAAAGCAGAGGCAGGTGTGGGCAGGAGGCTGCAGGTTTAATTGCTGTTGCAGGCAATGTTTGTCCTCTCCGAGAGGCCGCTGGGTGCAGCGCTAAGGGCTGTTGCACACGCAGGCAGTGATGCAGCGTTGCTTAATCTCATCTCGCCTGCCCTAATGGACTTGCTCTTCTCCAGTTCCACGATAAGATCGAGCCCATGCTGGAGACGCTGGAGACCCTCTCCTCCCGCCTGCGCATGCCGCCCCTCATCCCCGCCGAGGTCGATAAGATCCGGGAGTGCATCAGCGAGAACAAAAACGCCACTGTGGAGCTGGAGAAGCTGCAGCCTTCCTTCGAGGCTCTGAAACGCCGCGGGGAGGAGCTGATCGGCCGATCGCAGGGAACGGACAAGGACCTGGCAGCAAAAGGTATCTCGGGGTGGATTTAACAGGAGGTGCTGCCTGGGCTGGTAGCAGTGCCCAGCTTCTCCTACCCAAACCACGGCTCCATCGCCCTGGGGGAGGCTTTGATGTCCCAGGGGGGTATTTCAGAGGGTCTCCTGGCCTTAGGAGGAAGGGTGAGTCCTCTGCACGCAGATATCTGGTGCTTGCTTCCATCTGGAGCAGACAGGGTGGTATCAGCCAGAGGAGAAAGAATTATTTGTGGCTGCTCAGGCAGAGGTTTCAGTTCAGCTGAGCTGAGCCATCACCCTGAGTTGGTCTCTTGTGGCAACCGTTGGTGGCCCCTGTGAAATGATTTGTTGGTGTCGATTCAGCATCTAATGGAGGGAAGGAACATCCCCAGCACAAAAAGACCTGTCAACACGATTGGCGCTAATTGGCACCTTTTTTGGCAGCTCAACGGTCTGCTCATGGACTGAGTGAGCGTAGACTTCACGCTAGAGGTGGCCAGAACAGAGCTTCATTGGAGGAGAGTGTGTGGGCAAATTTGCCCTGAGCTTGCCTGCACTTAAATAAAGGCTTTATTTCTCCAGGCTGGAGTTTCTCATGTCCCTCAGCATCTCTGAGTTAATGCTCTGATAGTCCTGGTCATCTTTAATTCCCATTTGAATATTCTGTTGGCTATTTCTAAGTGGAAAGTGTTTGCAAAATGCTTTTGAGTTGTAGAAAGGTTTCCTTCTTCACTGAATGTTTTTATTCCCTTCCTCAGTAATCCAGGATAAGTTGGATCAGATGGTCTTCTTCTGGGAAGACATCAAAGCTCGGGCAGAGGAACGTGAAATGAAGTTCCTTGATGTCCTGGAGCTTGCGGAAAAATTCTGGTATGACATGGCAGCCCTCCTGACTACCATCAAAGACACGCAGGACATTGTGCACGACCTGGAGAGCCCAGGCATCGACCCCTCCATCATCAAGCAGCAGGTGGAAGCGGCAGAGGTGAGGACCATGGGACTGTACCCCTGTACAGAACTTGTCTGCACCCAGCTTGTAAGCTAAGCTGGGGTAGATCTTAGGTATGAGCACGGCCAGAAGTGGCTGTAAAACGGTTTTGTAGGCAGGCAGGCAGATTATGAAAAGTTATTTCCGTTGCAATTTGGAACTGCCAGGAAAAAAAACAGAAGTGTATTCCACGTATCTCTCCCCACCACTGCCGCCCCCTGTTCCAGATGAGGAAATGATGCTTAAATCACTTTATCTGCTGCTGGTTTGGGAAGCTTATCAAGCGTGTGGTCAGAGTCGTGTGCCCACTTGTTTTGAGGGATGTGGAAGTTTGCACGGTTCTGCTCCCAGTCTGAGTCGAAAGCATCCGAGTGCTGTCTGGCGTGGGAAGTGTATAGATAGATTTTGGTTAGACCGGAGGTAATGGTAAAGCTGGATGGACTTGGATTTGTGTGGTGGTGGTTGGTTGTTTCAAATAAGTGGTGAAATCCACTTCAGGTGGATTTGACTTGGACCTTGGGGAGCACAGATGTTTCTTTATGCTTTGCTAAGTTTGTCCCTGCTATTTCCCTTTTATAACCGTTCTGAGTTTGGTTTGCAACTTTTGAGTCTCAAAAACTAATTCCTGTATGGACAAAATACTCCGGTAAACAGTACATCTCTTGTAAACAACATCTTCAGCCAGGCAGTTCAGGCACACGTCAAGCTAAATACAGATGTTCTTGCTTTGGTTCCCCCAACCCTGCACGCAGCAGCATTGCTGCGGTGGCCAGAGGTGGGAGCAGACCAGGTTGGTGGTGGCAGTGCTGGCGAGCAGAACAGCCGTCTGCTCGCGGTGTAGCCCGCTCTGGGGGTCTGGCGTCGGGCTGTTGGCCAGAGCGCAGGACACCAGAGCAGGAAGGACTCCCCATGCGTTAGCCCTCCTGTTCACGGGGCAATTTTGGAAGAGCATTTAATAATAACAACCATTTTTCTTTTGTCTCTGTGCTACGTGCAGACTATTAAAGAGGAGACGGATGGCTTGCATGAAGAGCTGGAGTTCATCCGACTCCTTGGAACTGATCTAATTTTTGCCTGTGGCGAAACCGAGAAACCAGAAGTGAAAAAGAGCATTGATGAGGTAGGAAAACCAGCGGCCTCTCCTTCAGAGAAAATCAGGTAGGAGCAAGTGGGAGCTCCAGTAGAAGAGCCTAACGAATTTTGTGGGCAATCTTCTGTTCCACAGATGAACAACGCGTGGGAAAACCTAAACAAAACGTGGAAGGAGAGGCTCGAAAAGCTTGAAGAAGCCATGCAGTCGGCTGTGCAATACCAAGATACACTTCAAGTAAGAGGCAGGGTTGTTTGTGTAGGGTGGGTAGACCTCGGGAACACCACTGCGAGTCCTCTCCCTGGAGCTGTATTGGGATTTGCACTAACACAAAGCAGGGGAATGTCTCCTGGGTGAGTGTTTGCGGCCTCTGATAGAGCCTGAGCTCAACAGTCAGCTCCAAGGAAGGGCAGATATGGGACAGCATTGGTCTTCCCAAATCTCTCTTCACTGCTGCACGAAGCAGCAAGATGAGCCTGGCTGCCCTCAGGTCCTTATGTTTGGAAGCAGGAGAGGGGAGGAAAGACCTTGCAGAAGCATGTGCTGGCCAAGAAGGCAGCTCTGCCCAAAAGACAAGTTTCATGGTTGCGGGGTGATGGAGGCGCCAGCCCCGATTCCCCGGCCAGCTGCAGGGGGAGCACGCTTTGCCGTTCCCTTCGCTAACGGTGTCTGCGCTCCTTTCCAGGCCATGTTTGACTGGCTGGATAACGCCGTGATCAAACTCTGCAACATGTCTCCTGTCGGCACTGACCTCAACACTGTTAAGGAGCAAATGAACGAGATGAAGGTACGCGGGCAGAGTGGGACCAGTTCTCTGGTGCTTGCCTTGCATCGCAGAGCTCGCGCTCCAACTGATTCATTTTGTTCTGGTTTTTGTCCTGCTTGTTTTGGCAGGAATTTAAAATGGAGGTTTACCAGCAGCAGATTGAGATGGAAAAGCTTAATCACCAAGGTGAACTGATGCTAAAAAAAGCTACAGATGAGACAGACAGAGACATCATAAAGGAACCACTGACAGAGCTGAAACATCTCTGGGAGAATTTGGGCGAGAAAATTGCTCACAGACAGGTAGAGAGAAGATCTGGGTTCTCGCAGGTGCGGGGCTGAAACTCGCTGGGATGCTCCCCTTCCTTCCTGACTTAAACTTTCTTTTTCCATCCCTGTCCTTTGCCTAGCATAAGTTAGAAGCCGCTCTCCTAGCACTTGGCCAGTTTCAGCACGCATTGGCGGAGCTGATGGCCTGGCTGACCCACACCGAGGAGCTGCTCGACGCGCAAAAACCCATCAGCGGAGACCCAAAAATCATTGAGGTTGAACTTGCAAAGCACCACGTGAGTACTTCCACTCCAGGTCCATTTTCAGTCTGTTCCATTTCAGGATTTTATTTCTCATGAAGGGTTTGAGTTGGTTCAGGTCCATGAGAGCGTGCAGGAATTAACAGGGGATTTTAGAGAGGTGTCCAATGTTTGCCCACCACATCTCATGTAGGTGCTGAAGAACGACGTCCTGGCCCACCAAGCGACCGTGGAGACGGTGAACAAAGCGGGCAACGAGCTGCTGGAGTCAAGCGCAGGGGACGATGCGAGCAGCCTGCGAAACCGCCTGGAGAAGCTGAACTCGTGCTGGGAGTCGGTGCTGCAGAAGACGGAGGAGAGGGAGCAGCAGCTGCAGTCCACGCTCCAGCAGGTCGGGGAGATGCGTCGGGGGTACCCCCCTGTGCAGCGGATTGCTGCTGAGGGTCCGCTTCCCCCTTCACTTCCAAAGAGGAAGGAGTTAGGGAGACACTGGGATTTTTTTCTGCAAGTTTTTCATTTAACTCTTTAGTCTTAGAGTGGTTTGGTGCCTGCCCAGAAGCACGGTAGGGACCAGGCACACCCGAATGGTTAAGGATGTGCCATCTATAACCCGCCTTAACGTGCTGGTGCATCCAGCTCTGCCTCTTTATCTGGTTTTGAAGCAAACACAGTGTTAACGCCGGTGGATGATCCGTGGTGGCTGATGTCATCTGATCCGTGGCCAATTATATGTTCCTGAACAGGCCCAGGGTTTCCATGGTGAGATTGAAGACTTCCTCCTGTGGCTAACGAGGATGGAGAGCCAATTGTCGGCATCAAAACCCACAGGAGGTCTGCCAGAAACTGCCCGGGAACAACTCAATGCCCACATGGTAATTTCTTAGGAGAGATTTTTAATGCTTTTAATTCAGCAAGCTCCTGTCTGTCAAATAGCAGCATCAAAACTTCTCCCTTCTGTATCTGATGGGAAGAAGAGTGCTTCTCTGGTCTCTTCTTACAGATAATTTTGCACCTGGGACAAGCATCACGATGCTTTAACCACCTTTCTCTGCTCAAAGTGACACGCTGCTGTCACTTTGCTGCCCGCCCTGAGCCTCATTTTCTCATCACCCTGAGTCGCAACAAGCCGTGGCCCCTCTCGGGGCTCTTTGTCTAACGCTTTGGTGATGCCTCCCTTGCAGGAGCTGTACAGCCAGCTCAAAGCCAAGGAGGACGTCTACAGTCAGCTGCTGGCCAAGGGGCGACTAAAAAACCGCGACGACTCGGGCTCTGGCTCAAAGACGGAGCAGAGCGTAGCGTTGCTGGAGCAGAAATGGTGTCTGGTCAGCACCAAGATGGAGGAGAGAAAGGTAGTGTTGGCGTCTGCCCTTGCCCCATGAGCTGGTCTGACAGCAGTTGCTCCCTGCTTTGCTGCTCTGCTTTCCTGGGAGGGATGGAACCAGTCAGGGCTGGAGAAGGAGGGCTGGGGTTTCTTGGTTTTTTTCTTTTTAGACGAGCTCTCTCTTGGTTGCACAGGTTGAGTTTGTCTTTCAGATGGTGCTGTCTGAGCATCAAGCTGTTGTTTTTTTTTTTTCTAGAGAGTCATCAGAGCTGGTTAGATCACACAGAAAATGAGAGTAAAATTGCATTTTGGGTTATTTTAGAGGAGAGGTGGGAAGAAACCTCCCGCGGCTCTGAAAGGCAGGCTTTGTTGGTCCTCTGCGAGACAGCAGGCCAGATCCTTCTCCGAGCTGACTCCGTCCTAGGCTTTTGGCCGGTGATGAGATAAAACAAGGGACGCGGTGGCCTCAGCCCAGAATAAATTTGCGGTGCTGCAGCTGTTACCATCGAAATATCATCCACCTCATTTACCGAGCCGCTCTCCCCATGGCGATCCCTTTCTCAGGAAGCTGAGGGTGACGCAGCTGCTCGTGTGCCGATGAAGGTCTCCCCTTTCAGGGACGATTCTTGTTTTGAAAGAAAGCGGTGGCTTTCACTGAAACCCCCTCCCCTTGGTAAACAAGTCGCGTTCCCGGGCCGAGGCGATGAGGTTCCTGTTAGAGGGACGTTTCGGCAGGGACACAAAGGCTGCCTCTGTCTGAGAAGCTGCAGATCGTGAGCTCTCACCCTCTGCGTTGTGTTTTTTTTCTCCCTCTCTCTCTCCCCGCTGCGGCAGGCAAAGCTGGAGGAGGCTCTGGCCCTGGCCACGGACTTCCAGAACTCCCTCCAGGACTTCATCAACTGGCTCACGCTGGCCGAGCAGAGCCTGAACATCGCGCCCCCGGCCAGCCTCATCCTCAACGCCGTGCTGGCCCAGATCGACGAGCACAAGGTACCGCCACCGCGAGCACCCAACAGCTCCCCGGGATGGAGGGAGCAAGGGTGTCACCTCGTTTCCCCTGCACCCATGGGCTGCTCGCAGGCACGTCCAGCTCCCTTACAGGTAAAGAGGACATCTTTGCCGTTCGCAGGTGTTCGCCAACGAGGTGAATGCTCATCGGGATCGGATCATCGAGCTGGATCAAACCGGGAACCAGCTGAAGTTTCTCAGTCAAAAACAGGATGTGGTGTTGATCAAGAACCTGCTGGTGAGCGTCCAGTCCCGCTGGGAGAAGGTCGTCCAGCGCTCTGTGGAGCGGGGACGGGCCCTTGATGATGCCAGGAAGCGAGCTAAGCAGGTAAGAAACATGGGAAGGGTGCAACAGACCCCAAAGTATGGCCAACCTTGGGGAACAGGAGGTCCCAAGACCAAAAAGGGACTGGGGACACCACCAGTGTTAAGTTTCAGACTTGCTCCTGTTTCTCTGCAGTTCCACGAAGCTTGGAAGAAGCTGATTGATTGGCTGGAGGATGCAGAGAATCACCTGGACTCGGAGCTGGAGATTTCCAATGATCCCGACAAAATCAAGCTCCAGCTCTCCAAACACAAGGTAGAGCTTCGCCAAAGCAAGACCGGTGCTGGACGCTGGGTGGAAGGGTGCTTTGTCAGGAGGGGGAGCAGGGCAGCATCTCCTCTGCCATCAGGACAGGGCAAAGGCACATCCATGCTTACTGCTGCCATGGAAAAATATGCAGCTGGGGATCTTCACAAGCACCGTGTGTCTTCAGAAAGCCAAGACCAGGCTCTCTGAAACAGTTTTGTTTTCTCTCTGGTTCCCAGGAGTTCCAGAAGACACTGGGGGGGAAGCAGCCTGTCTACGATACCACCATCAGGACGGGCAGAGCCCTCAAAGAAAAAGCCTTGCTTCCGGACGACACTCAAAAGCTGGACAACTTACTGGGAGAAGTCCGGGATAAGTGGGACACAGTGTGCGGCAAATCTGTGGAGAGGTAAGTCCAGCCCCCATGTTGTACCAACAGCACTTGTTTGCTGAGGACTCCTCGAAGTGGAGAGGAGGGGAGGCGATTTCATGGGGTGGTTGGAGGAGGTCACTGGGACATGACAAAAGGAGGTGAGTTTGTTCATGGAAGTTCATGAGGATGTTTGTTTTTCAGGCAGCACAAGCTGGAAGAAGCCCTCTTGTTCTCTGGCCAGTTCATGGATGCGCTGCAGGCCTTGGTGGACTGGCTCTACAAGGTGGAACCCCAGTTAGCTGAAGACCAGCCTGTCCATGGTGACCTGGATCTGGTCATGAACCTGATGGATGCTCACAAGGTGAGAGCGCCTTTTCCAGCTCTTCTCCGGGACATGAGTAGGGCTTGTCTTCCCCAAGAGCCAAAGAACAGAGGAGCCAGAGTTGGTGCCTTGCTGCAGAGCTGCGTGTCTCACTGCTTTGCTTTGCTGTGGTGGACAAGGAGGGCAAAACCAGGTTGAACAAGTGGGAAGAAACTTTTACATAGGTTACAGGAGCTGAAGCTCTGTTCTTCTGAGATGCTATCAGTCAGATCTGTTGAGGGTTTAGTTTGGAAAAGGTGGCTGAATTTGTAGTCCTCTATAAACTTTGGCCTTGGCAGTTCTCTCCAGCCTGTCTTGGAGCCTGCCACTGCTGGGTTTGGATTAGGACATATGTTGAAATTCCTGCTTGGGCATCTGTTCAAGGCAGCTGTTGCATTGCAGCCGGAGCTCCTGGGCTAGAGCTCGCCTGCTCCAGGTCACGACTGCTTCTGCCAGGGTGGAAAGTTGGGGCTCCTGCCCACGTATTTACACCGAAACGCGCTCAGGAGCTGCCTGTGCTGTCTAGCGCTCTGCCTGCCTGTCCTCCCATCACACCAGGTTGTGGTGGATCCCTGATATGGCTGCAAAACCCACATTACAAACTATTTCAGTTGTGCCCCTGTTTTATTCCCCACGTGAAACAACCCGCTGGGACTGACTGGCCCCGCTCGGCTTCTGCCCTCTCTCCCTCCAGGTCTTCCAGAAAGAGCTGGGGAAGCGCACAGGGACGGTCCAGGTGCTCAAGCGCTCCGGCCGGGAGCTCATTGAGAACAGCCGGGACGACACGACCTGGGTGAAGGTGCAGCTGCAGGAGCTGAGCAACCGGTGGGACACGGTGTGCAAGCTGTCCGTGTCCAAACAAACCCGTCTGGAACAGGCCTTGAAGCAGGTGAGCAGAAGGCTACAGGTGGAAATGGTCCTGGAGAGCTTTGCCTGGGCTGCAGGTTTGTGCCGGGAGGTCAACAGAAACCTCAGAGAAGAGGTTTTGCCCAGTGACTGATCTCCTGGCCGAGCAGGACACCCCAGCCCTGCTGCAGTTACCGGTGAGAACTGCAAAGCAGTGGGTTGGTGTCAGTTATTTACTTATTCTTTTCCCCAAAAAAGAGCCGACAAAGGCTGCTTTGAAAAAGGGAGGATGAAAAGAGCTCACCGATGTGCACGGCAGGAATAGAGCAGCGATCAGAGACTGTCCAGGCTGGTGTTTGCTAATGTCCAGTGCAAGAGAGAGACCTAGATTGAAGCTAAAAAAAAGAAAAAAAAAAAAGCCAAAGGCTCTTAAGTAGTTTTTGTGTCAAGTAGGCAATTTACACAATAAACTAGCCAGGTGCCAAACTGGTCAGAATACAGGTAGTTGTGCTGGTTTTAAAACCATTTCGTTCTTCAGGGCAGCGGATGCTGAGGGGAGGGAGGTGCCCAGCTGCTGCGGGACCGTCTGCTGGTGCTGCACAAACCCAGGCCAACAGACACGGCTTTTTCCCCCCTTTTTTCTAATTTGTTTTTAAAGTCCCTTTCAGCCCTTTGTCTCTCCAGCTCTCAGCAGTGAATTGAGCGGCCTGTTTCGGGAGGAGGAGGGCTAACGCCTGTGCTTTTGTCGCCGCAGGCGGAGGAGTTCAGGACGGCCGTGCACATGCTGCTGGAGTGGCTCTCGGAGGCAGAGCAATCCCTGCGCTTCCGGGGAGCGCTTCCCGACGACGCCGAGGCGTTGCAGGCCCTCATTGACGCGCACAAGGTAGCGGGGAGCTCTGAAACGCCACCTGCGCAAAATTTCGGGGGGGAGAATATCGCAAACTAATTCATTTGGGCCTTTCAGGAGTTCATGAAGAAAGTGGAGGAGAAGAGAGTGGACGTGAACGCGGCGGTGGGCATGGGAGAGGTCATCCTGGCCGCCTGCCATCCCGACTGTATCACCACGATCAAACACTGGATCACCATCATCCGAGCCAGGTTCGAGGAGGTGAGTCCACCAGGCTTTGTTCCAGGCTGGCGTGGTGAGAGGCGGCGGTGGACACCACCACCAGCCATGTGGCGTCGGCTCCTGCCCCTGCTTGCCCACCCTGGGCTGATGGTCGTCTGTGTGTCTCCAACAGGTTCTCACGTGGGCGAAGCAGCACCAGCAGAGACTGGAGTCTGCGCTTTCCGAGCTGGTGGCGAACGCAGAGCTTCTGGAAGAGCTCCTGGCTTGGATCCAGTGGGCTGAGACAACCCTGATCCAGCGGGACCAGGAGCCCATGCCCCAAAATATCGATCAGGTCAAAGCCCTCATCTCCGAGCACCAGGTGAGCCCAGTGCCGAACACAGCGGGCGCTTGGGAGAGGGGTGGGGGGGTTCCTGCCCCTCCATGGAGGAGGCATTGACTTCTCTTGGAAGTCCCTATTGAAACAGCATGTGACCCAGCTGGAGCTATCCCCTGGGAGCAAAGCCAGCCCAGGGGATGAACTCCAGCGCTTGCAGATCCAAGCCGGCACCATGCAATAGCTTGACCACAAGCCCCCATCGCCGGTGCTTAACGCTCCCATCTCCTCTGTGGGTTTGGCATGTCCCAGCGAGGATCTGGAGCAACAGGAGACTGGAAACATCTTGAAACTGCAAAGGTTCTCTTGTCCCTTCTCTATTTCGACAGTCCTTTATGGAGGAGATGACACGGAAACAGCCAGACGTGGACCGGGTCACGAAGACATACAAGAGGAAAGCTACTGAGCCCCCCCACGGGCCTTTCATCGAGAAGTCCCGCAGCAACAGTACGTCTCCGCTCGATACACGGCTTTCGGTGAAACGTGCTACGATGGGAGGAAATGAAACGCATAGGAAACTAATTAGCTTTGATTATCAATTAACAAGGCATCCTGCACTGACAGCCACCAGGAAGGCAGTTGAAACTTGTCAGGAGGGGAAGATCCAGGTGGCATTTGCCAAAATGCCCGTTCCAGGGTGTGCTGCGCCTGGGGAAGCTCGTGCTGTCACTGCTCTTCTCTTTCTCTCTGCAGTTGCTTCGTGATGAGGTTTTGGGGTCTTTTTATGCGTTGTTTCTTGAAGCCAGAGGCTGTTGTGAATTCCCGAGTGTAGAGGGAGTGCCGGGAGGGTTTGGGCGTACAGCCGTCCGTCACCCTGTCCTCCTACCTGGGGACACTGCGTGCCTTCAGACAGCAGCCAGCGAGGCCGTGGGAGGTTTTCTATTTGAAAAATAAAATGTATTTCATCGCTGCTCTTTCCTGAGCTCTTTCCTCAACCACTCAGACTTGCTGAATCCATCACCACCACCTCAAACAATTCCTTTTCTCCCTTTTTCCAGGAAAATCCTTGAGTCAGGCTGCCCCCCCCAGCATGCCCATCATCTCCCAGTCGGAAACAAAGAACCCTCGGATCAACCAGCTCTCGGCCCGCTGGCAGCAGGTCTGGCTGCTGGCGCTGGAGCGGCAGCGCAAGCTGAACGATGCCCTGCAATCGGAACGATGCCCTGGACAGACGGGAGGAGGTAACGGCCGCCGGCTGCTCCGGGGCGGGAGGGAGCGGTGCCGGGGGTTGCTCGCCGGAGAGGTGCGAGAAGCGTTTTAAATTAGTGCTGCCTCTTGAATTGCCCAGCTCTTGCAGGCAGTTACTGCTGCCTTTCTGAAAATGGTAAAAGAAAAAGAAAAAAAAAACCAACTCCTAAAATATAATGGCTGAAAACTACCTTCTGTAATTAACTGCACGTTAATGAACTGCTTTGTGCCCCTGCAGTCAGTATCTGTAGAGGTCACGACAGCCAGGCCTGCTTTACTCCTAGTAATTAGTTTAACAACTACTGTCTATATCTTTTCCAAACATCTAATGTAATTTTTGTTTTTATTTATGCTTAACAAAGCAGCTATGCCCAGAAGTGAGTGTTTTTGTTTTTTGTTGCTTTTGCTGTAGGTCAGTTCAGTTTATATGTATTAATGTTTTTTCTTTGTTGCTTTTAACTCCAAGAATGTTTGGGGGGGGGGGGGGGGACCCACCACGCTAAAAATTGTTGCATTACCTTGCTGTGAGCTGCTTTAGCTGGCGGGGGG